TTAACAGATGAATAACGAGACATAGATTCTAGAATCTACAGGTTGCAACACATCAGATTTAACACCGCATAAAATTTAACAATTTAAATAAAGTAATGCTACTTTTCTTATATTTTCTATAACGTTACACGCATTGTATTTTTTCATAGTCTTTTCATAGAACATATTTAATATTATTTACATACATAGTTTTACTCAACAAATAACCACTATAATAATTATTAAAATTGTACAATGCTATTTACCATCAAAATTCATAATGAATAAATATAGTCATTAGTTTTAAGTATTATACAACTGTGTTTTCTTTCTCTGTACATGCCTGGCGCCCAATATCTATATATCTTTTGTTAATTATTACTGATTAATTTTCTCTCTAGTGAAATACCTTATCCACGACTGCTCTCCGATGAAAAGCTGCCGCAGTGGTAGTGGTTTAAAAATCGCTACAATACTGTCAGATAGCTCTGATGAAGTGGCTATGAGAGTGTGCAATTAGTTTTTTGATTTTCTAAAAACTAACGACAGGAAAAAATAAAATTGATTTTCAAAAAAATCCGTTTTTCCAAAAAACTCAGCAATCCTTGAAATTTTTAAAGCTTTTTTCATAGCATCTTGGTGAACATCACAAGGAGCAACTTTGCCCCAATTTAACCATCTTCTTATCTATTACGGTTTCCGAGATGGCAATACTCGTGCCTCGAATTTGTAGCACCCTGTACAATATAGAATAATATTACGAATCCGCAAAACTGTTAAAAATTTTAAATACAAAAAATTTTTTATTTTTTAAGTCTCCATCTAACAAAGGAATAATCTTGGAATAATATACAGAATGTTCCATTTAAAATAACGAACAAAATCTATTTTATATTTTAGAAAAGTTGTCATATAATTTTGAACACACTGTATGGTTTAAGAATACGATATTTATAGGACAATAAGTACAGACCAACTAAAATACCTAGTATAGTTTTGATTCCCGGACATTTCTTGTATTTTTATTAATTTCTCTAAAAAAAGCTGGATTTTTTTTAAATTTATTTATTAATGTCTCTCAAACTGTCAAAACATTTAATAATATTTTAGGATTATTTAAAGTGATCAGAAAGGAAGCCAAAAATGCAATATTATACAGGGTGCTTTATTTAAAAAAAATCTTCCCGATCCACTAGGTAGGTAAAAGTTAAATTACTTCCCTGAAATACATCCTAGTAACATATTTTAGGTTTACACTTCCTAAAAATTTCCTTTAAAATTTCTCAGATATTTATTTTAGGAGCTACAGATTCCCGACGCACTATTGCCGGACCCAAAGACATTATAAAGATAGACCGAACATCTCATTCATAAATTCGTTGGTAGTGTATCAAACATTCCAATGTGTCAAACAATGACAGAAGAGACAGAGAAGTCTAAAATTTCCGACCCCGGCAACTAGGTGCATTTGGGATTGTTCTAATGGCCAGTGGCGTATCGTTTTTTGGAACGAATTTAATTAGTAAAGTAAAAGTAAAGTAATTAGTAAAATTTTTACTCCATATTAATATACTACATTAACACTTTTTCGTCAGATGAGTTTTGTTATAAGGTCTAATATAATAATACAATTAATATCCTACATATACTTATGTTGAAACGTTAGTAGTTTTCGAAAATCACTCCAACGTCGATTTTCAATTTAAACTTTCAGTTACTTCTATATAAACTTTCAGTTATTTTTGAATATTTACAGGGTGACTCAGGCTTCCGAAACAGTTCTATATTAGGTTTGTGGTTGGTGACTTTTCTTTCAATTTTTTTTTTCAGAATATGGAGGCATTTAGGCACATATTAGACATTTTTGTAAACATAGGTGGCCAGTACATATTTTCAAACCAAAGTTGTAGATTTGCCATTAAATATTCATTCCAGAAATACCTAGGGTTGCCACTTGTCCTTTTTTGAAAAGGGCAGTCCTTTTGACTTTTTTTGACTTAAAAAATCATTTTTATTTACGTATTTTCCCTGAGAAAATTACCTACAGAAAACAGAAATATTCTTTTCGCCCAAATTTAATTAGGAATGTTATAAAACTTAACTTATAAATAAATTTTTCTTGTTTAGAATAGGCAACATTATTTAGAACCTCCCGTTTAATCTCAAATGATAGTTTAGGTTTTAGTTTTACCTTTTTTTTATCTTAAAAAGAACTTTTCAAAATTAGTACCTAATTAGTAACGATTTAGTTAGTTCGCAATCGATAGCTTCCTGTGAAGTACTGTGTAATAGTTGTAATCGTGTATTATTAATAACTTCCTATACCTAAAATCAATATTTAATGAGAAAATTGTGTTTTTTTTTGAAAATATAAGACAAGATTTGACTTTCGGTCTTCTTCTTGTATTATGATGGCTCTGATACGAGGCAATTGCCTTTTAGTCTCGCAATAGAAGGCATTTATCATTAAAAGTATAAAATATGTGTGCTACAGTATGGGATTTCTGTCGCATAATAATGAATACCTATTACGTTTATTTACAAATCCATTACTTTTTAAAGGTAAGCTTCATCAGATAATCAAATTTTAGTTAAATGTCCTAATCTTCATGAACTGTATTAAGCATATGTATTGCGGTTTGAATCATCTGTATGTTGACAAAAAATATTTTGAAAATGTGCGTTACAATGGCCCCTATGCATTGCGCGGTTTTGAATCATCCTGTATGTTGACAAAAATATTTTGAAAATGTGCGTTACAATGGCCCCATCTTATGTAAAAAATTGAAATAAAAATCACAAACCAAAACCTAATAGGTAAAAGCTTTTTTGGAGGCCTGGGTCGCTCTTTATATAGGTATGTATAAAACTAGTAACCTAAAATTTTTACAGTTCGTCTCATTCTAAAAAAGTTAAACACACCGTACAAATAACTCTAGGAAGATGTATTTGTACGGTGGTAAAATGTCTAAACAAGGCCGAAGGGCAGATATAATAAAGCAATAAAATGTAAAAAGGTCGGGTAAACACCTTTGTTTATTTATTGAGCAAAATTCCTTTAGAATATCGTATATAATGACCAAAATAGGACGCAATTTTAAGGAAAAAATGTCACTTTCTGGCTTATAATAAAGTTTCAAATGTAACGTTTATATTCAAATTTGTTATGATCTACAACAGTTAGGTAGTAATTGAGACGAATTATAATTCCAATTACCGGCTACTACGTTCTTGTTTTAATAGATCAAATTCAACAAATATAATTAGAAATTATTTAATTGTGAGAGGCTCCCTTATGGGACGCCTATGTACGATACGGCGCGGCGGAAACAATACCTACCTGTGAAAAGACAAATTCCGGTAATTTGAGGCTTATTTGTCCACACATTTGACACTGTCGTACCATATTGAAAATTCGCAGATTCAAAAGTACATTAAACAAAAACAAAAACTACTGAAAAACACTGAAAAGTTCACTTCGGAGTTGATTCTGACTTCAAACACACCGTAAGCTAAACTTAGTACGCTGACCATGGGCAGAGGGCCGTCGCGAGGGGTGGTGGGACGCATGTGGGACGGCAGACGTTGCCATGGGCAGACGTTGCCATGGGCAGACGTTGCCAATAGTTCTAGACGTTTCAGCACATTAAACAGTAAACATGTCTTTTAATTGTAACGCATATATCCTCTGGTTAATAACATATTATTACGCATGCTTCTTTAAAAATAAACTATTAATTTAATTAAGAAATTGAAATTTATTGATATCCGGTGAAGGTTTTAAAGTCACCTTTTCTGCAAATCAAACTAAGTAGATAGGCGCAAATTTGATATGTGGCAATGTCGCCTTCTCTATCTCAGTTGATTTTTACAGTACGTAGTCAACCTCCGAATGTTTGATCGGGTTAAAATGCATAATGTGATATCTGTTCTTCCTAAATCTATGGCCGGACCCTGTTTGTGAGTCCCAACATACCATAAAATATAGTGATGGGCATTACGATTCATTTGTTTTTTAACACTTTATGACACTAGCGTAATTGGATTGATTATTTTACAAATAATATTAAATTATCAATTCAATTCATATATACCGTATGATCGAAAAAAAATGGCGTCCAGTTGGCTGGGAAATGACGATCGATGACATTTCCCATATAAATTTACATATAAAATGACAGCGATCTTCATTTCATAGCCATCGTTGACGCCGTTTTTTCTCGATCATACGGTACTATTTATTATTCTTAATACCAGTTTAATATTTTTCGAGCGATATTTTAATTTCGACTTAATAATCATATAATAAATAGTACATAATATCGCATGATCGAAAAAAATGGCATCCAGTTGGCTTGGAAATGAACATCGATGACGTTGCACATATATTTTTACACATAAAATGACAGCGATTTTCATTTTATAACAATCGCTGACGCCGTTTTTTTTTCCGTCCGACATTTAATAAACCATTAGTCGGTAATATTATTTTAACAAAAATTTTGACGTAAAAATTAAATACATTACAGATACTCCCGTACAACAATATAAATATTTTTTTTTCTTGTAAATAACATTCTTATCGTTTGAATTTCATGCCCATGATATATGTTTAGGGTATTTGTTCAAGTCTAAATACTGGTGCCTAACTATAGAGTCATAGACCTATATCACCGCCACCGCCGGCGCCGCCGCGCCGTAGAAACGAACGATCGCATTTTGATTCGATTCAATTCTCACGATTATTTTAAATCTTACGGATCCATGCTGGCCACGATTCAATTGAACCAACCGTATTGTAAGCAATAAATCAATACTCACGACTCTTATGGATCCGTGCTGACTATGATTCAGTTGAACGAACCGTATTCTAAGCAGTGAATCGAATCACACGATTCATTTTTAATATTCGTTCAAATGAACAACTAGTTCAATCTTTGCCCAACTCTAATACAATACGAAAAAATTAAATACTAACGTAAATTATTAATACTAACATTTTCTAATGAGATATTTCTTACCTTCGGTTAGATGGACCTGCGACTCCCTCGGGCGTCGAAAGTGGAGATAAAACGGGCGACCTTTGTCTTGCTCCAGCTCCCTAAAATATTTTTTGAACGTATTTAGCAGCAGTAATAATAATAGAAATAATAAACAATCTTTATTTCACATTAAAATTTATATAAAGATCCCATCAAAAACATAGAAATATAAGAAAATGCCAAGTATCGCAACACAATTCTTCCACTATAAAAAGTTGTGAGATCTCATGTAAAACCAAGTCAGTTTATTTTATTTAGTCTCTCTTTAAGCACCTATTCAACAATTTTGTTATAAATTGTTAGTATCGATATTAGTAATTTTTATTTCTGTAATAATTATAATGACTTGGCAATTGCACGGCACCATAACTATAAAAGAATAATCTACTATTTCGATAGCTAAGTAAAACAGTGCACTTAAGAATATTTTTTTTAGATACATTAGGTAATTATTTTTTCCTATTTTGGAACATTTATCAGTTCAACGCGGGCCAAACTGCGACGGCGATGTTGCCACACCGCTGACACCGCATTGTCATTGCGGCGACAGTAAGCGCCCCGCGCGCGCCACCCGCAATGTTCTTTTGTTTCAAGTCTCATCTCTCACTCAGTTAACTGCAACTTAACCACTTTCTGATAATACTATTTCACGCAGAATAAACGATATGGCCAAGGATATTCAAGAATAATAAAAGAAAAGCGAATATTTTGCTTTGCAGTTTGACGAATCTACACATATGTGACTGCACAGTTTGTAGTATTTGTGCGCTTTGAAGCAGATACCAGTATCATGGAAGAAATTTTATTTTCCAAAGCACTTCCTGCAAACACTACTGGCCAGTGTTTATAGGATATGTTTTTAGGAAGTACTTGCGACTACGATATTGGAAGAAATGTATCGCTATTTGTAGCTATGGCGCTAAAACTATGACTGGTAAAAAGAACGGACTTATTGCAAATTAAAATCGATAATGCCAAACATATCCTGGACACACTGTTTTCTTCATCGACAGGCTCTAGCTGCTAAGGTAGTACCTTCTGATTTAAATGACGTGCTCAAGGAGATTAGGAAAGGTATTGAAAGAGTTCTGGAACTGAGAGCTATATTGTTGTTACAAGATTCAAAATCTGAATATGCTTCTCGTTTTTCTGACCCTATTTGGCTCTTGAAATTAGCAATTTTGACAGATATTTAGCCACCTTAACAATTTGAACAAGAACCTTCAAAGAAGAGAAGAAAATATTTTAACAGCGAAAGATAAAGTAACGCAAAACTTCGTTTCTGGTCAACCTCTCTGCAAAACAAAATGTTCGAATCTTTTCCATGTATTCAGAAAGATTATTGAAAATAATGCAACAGACCAAAGTTTTGCAGTATCAACTCACATTCCTTGCATGATACATAGCTGACATAATTTGCAAGAGAAACTATTGGCATAATTTCCAGACTTGCACTCTGAAGCAGACAATGGGCGTAGATGGATTTTAATTTAAGAGAAATACACTCCAATTAGAAAACGATTTGATTATTAACGTTTCAAAAATAGCACCACAATTTGATAAAAATTTGTTGTGTAAGAACCTCGACTTTTTCTTTCAGGCGGCCCTAGGGGTCGCGATCGACAGATTGAAAAACACTGGTATAGGATATCATATCGTGCAATTGCCAAGTCATTATAATTATTACAGAAATAAAGATAACTAACATTGATACTAACAACGGCCCCTTAGATTTGTGTTATTTTTGATGTTTGTTTTTGTGGTGTATTTATTGGATAAATAGACATTATGACCAATAAATGTGTTATAATATGTGATACTGTCCGCAGTAAGAAAACAGTCTTATCCCCTTAAAAGAGCTCCATAACATAAAAGCATGAAAACCTCAAAACAACACAAAAGTATGTTCTTAAAAGTTTAAATAATTATAAACTTTATATACTAAACCTTTAAGAACATACTTATACTACTGTAATAATTATACTAGTAAATATTATCCAATAAGTAATTAATTTCCCGAATAACAATATTGTCAAGGTCAAGGTGTATTACTGGTTGCATAACTGCATTACTGCTACATAACCGCAACGTGCATTGAGAAACCTGGCGAATTCGCCAGAAAGTAAAAGAAAATTACAGAATTCTTTAGAAAATTCCAGAAACAATCGCCAGGGGGTATATAAGGCCCGCACTTTGACAGTTGGACCAGTCTGAAGAGAGTCTGAAGTCTGAAGTCTGAAGTTTGATAATACCGCGAAATACCGTTAGAATAATAGTAGTTGCATAAATTGTGTTGTAAATAGTATAAGTTGTGTGTACAGAGTGAGATAAATAAATTCGTTAAGTATTTTATCGTGAGTTTAAATAGTGGACCCACGGAATCCGTAACAATTGGTGTCGGAAGTGCGATTTAAGTGGATTTTGAAGATTTTACACCGAATTTGCGAATTTTTATGGTTGGTACGAGACAGCAAGCGAAGAAAATGGAAGAAGTAAGCAAATTATTGGGCGATTTTATGGAGAAATTAGAGAGAGAAAAAGAAGAGGAAAAATTACAACGACGACAAGAAAAACAAGAACAGGACCGGCTTGAAAAAATTTTCGTAGATTTGAAATTCCAACAACAACAAGATAAACAGGAAGAACAGGATCAGCTTGAAAAATTTTTCCAAGATTTGAAAATTCAACGACAACAAGACAAAGAAGAAATACAGGACCGGCTTGAGAAAATGTTAGGCAATTTAGAAATTCGTCAAAAAAATGAATGGAGGGAAATTTTAGAAGATATAGAAACGCGCCGCCAGAAAGAAAGACAAGAAGATCAGGACCGTCTTAAGAAAACTTTAGAAAATCAAGAAATTCGACTTCAGAAAAGCTTGGGGGAACAGCAACAAGCAATGTTGGAAGTACGTTGCCAGGAACAGCAGAACCACTTCCAAGAAGCCGTAGAAGATCTTGAGGAACGCCTTCAGCAGAAGATAGAAAGATTGGAGATGGACCTACAGAAGACCAAGGTACAAGTAAGGACACCTGGCGTTCATGGAACTGCGAACCTCAAGGCCCCGACCTACGATGGACAAAGCACCTGGACGATGTACCACCGCCAGTTTGAAGCAGCGGCTGCTGCCAATGGATGGACTGACCAAGAGAAAGCAGCAGCACTTGTCATCGCGCTGCGTGGCCCTGCCCTGGAACTGATGCAAACTATTCCTGCAGCCCAACAGCAGGAATACCAAACTTTGGTCGCTGCACTGGACAGAAGATATGGCGACCAACATCGACGCCAACTTTACCAGGCCCAGATCAAGACACGCCTGCAGCGTTCCGGAGAGAGTCTGCAGGAATTTGAAGCAGACTTACGTCGGCTGGTACACCTAGCATATCCAGAAGCACCGGAAGGGTTTAGGGAACTCGCTGCTCAGTGCTTTATCAGCGGGCTGAAGGACAACGAATTACAGAGGGCGCTGCAAATATCCCGATTTTCTACCATCAGCGAAGCACTGGTCAGGGCGCTGGAAATTGAAGCTGCTTTTAGCGCCATTCCTAGACCGAAGATAAGATCGGTAACGGTCGAGGAACAGCCCGGAAGTTCTCACATACGTTTGGAGGAGATGTTTAGTAAATTATGTGAGTTACTAGTGAACAAGAGTAGCAACAACACCCAGACAGAGAACAAGAGAAGATCCCAGGATATTAGGTGCTATAGATGTGGCAGGAATGGCCATATCCAAGGGGATTGTCGCATCCAAATGCCATTCCGTTCATCATTAAGAGAACATCGGCATATCGGAAGATCCCAGGACATAAGTTGCTATAGATGTGGCAGGAATGGCCACATCAAACGGGATTGCCGCGTTGAAATGCGATTCCGTTTACCCTTCAGAGAACATAGGCACCAGGAAATAAATAGTAATGAGCGAGTATTGGCTGAAGAAAACAGAGCCCCTAGGATGTTTTCCATTAGGAGTCTAGGAAAAACCGCTGACAGTTTGGTGATCAACGGGAAGGTCAATGGTAGAAGAATTCGAATGACTGTGGATACAGGCGCTATGGTATCGTTTGTGCGGACTAACTCAGTGTAAGGATTGAAGATGATGCCTCTTAGAAGAAGAGTGTATTTACGTACAGTTACGGGGGAAATGGCCGTTGTAGAGGGAGATGCTTTCATGGAACTGGAGTTAGGGAATTTGAAGTTTCGGCATAGCATTTTAGTGGCAGACATTGAAGATGATTTTATCATGGGTATGGATGTGATCAGTCAACATGGTTTTTCGTTCGATCACCATAAAAACATCCTGAAAATCGGAAATGAGGAATTTTCTGTATCTAAAGAGAAGAGACCAGGACATATGGAAGCAAGATCAGCGGAAATTGAAATTGTGATGATACCTGGTGATGCTAAGAAGACTGTGTTCGGGAAAATGGAGAAAACCCCTGAGTGCCGTGTAGGACGGGTACAAATTATCGACAACGAGCCAGATCGACGACAAACTACCTTGGGCAAGAAAATGAAACATCGCGAAAGCACTATCAGAGTAAAGCATTTTGAATTGAGAACTGACGAACAATGGACGACGATACAATTGAGGAAAGATCAAATGGAAGATCCAGACATCGGAGCAATACTACGGGTCAAGGAAGGTAACGGCGAGAGACCACCGTGGCAGGATACTGCGGATAGAGGGCTGGTTTTCAAAGCTCTCTGGGCTCAGTGGAATTCACTGGTGATTGAGAATGGACTATTAAAGCGCACGTGGGAAAGAGCGGATGGCCGAACAGTAAGAACTCAGTTATTGGTACCAAAGAAGAAAGTTACCCAGGTATTGGAAGAAATTCACGGTGGTAAAACTGGAGCACATCTTGGAGTAAACAAGACCTTGAGCAAGCTGAGAGACCGTTTTTACTGGGTGGATTATTGTGAAGATGTTAAGAAATGGTGTCAACGTTGTAAGATTTGCGCAGCTAGACAAAGACCGGGGGAAAAATGGAACAAGATAAAGCTGGACTGTCGTTCGAAAGAATCGTTAGGAAGGAAAGATTATTGGAAATTCATAAGGCCGTTAGAAGGAAGATTGCGCTAGCCAGTGACTGGATGAAAGCTCGTTACGACCTCAGAGCTAATTCTACGGGATTTCAACAGGACGATAGGGTATCGTTGTATAACCCACAGCGCAAGAAAGGAAGGTCTCCAAAGTTAACTCCAGCATGGGAAGGTCCTTATAAAGTCATCAAGAGGATAAATGATGATGTCTACCGAACTCAACGCAGCCCTAGAAGTAAGTTGAAAGTAGTTCATCTCGATCGATTGAAGAGATACCAGATAGGAAACCTTGATCGGGACGATCAAATTTGAGAAGGGGGCAATGTCAAGGTCAAGGTGTATTACTGGTTGCATAACTACATTACTGCTACATAACCGCAACGTGCATTGAGGAACCTGACGAATTGGCCAGAAAGTAAAAGAAAATTACAGAATTCTTTAGAAAATTCCAGAAACAATCGCCAGGGGGTATATAAGGCCCGCGCTTGGACCAGTCTGAAGATAGTCTGAAGTCTGAAGTTTGATAATACCGCGAAATACCCGTAGAATAATAGTAGTTGCGTAAATTGTGTTGTAAATAGTATAAGTTGTGTGTACAGAGTGAGATAAATAAATTCGTTAAGTATTTTATCGTGAGTTTAAATAGTGGACCCACGGAATCCGTAACAATATTATTTTCTCTATTTTATTTATTTTTATATTTTCTGTTTTATATATTTCCAGGGCTAAAATTTTTAACTTATTTCGTAAACATGATATATATACAAAAGACAAAAATAATCAGAGTCGAATGTCGCTGACGTGTGTTCAACAAAAATGAAGCGAATTTACTTATCTACGAAGTTTATAAGATCTAAGGATAAAATCATAGGTTGATAACTTAAGGTATGTTGACATTTGTCTGGTTTTGTTGTAATCTGTTCAGATTTAATTTAAATATACTTGCAGTTTTTGTTAAATTAGTTAAAATCGGCTTGTTGAAGGGTGTTCAGATTTGGTATGAATATTCAGCATACGCAGACCATTAAAAAAACTATGAATGATTTTGCTGAAAAATAAGATCCAATATTTGGACAGTTCAAAATTTGCTTGGGATTTCTTATGTTTCCAACGCCGATGCACCATCCAGTATGTACCAATAATGCGTCGAATTAATATCAGAATTGTGAAATGAACTGGTGTGCCTTAACATAAACACTACCATTGTTTTGAAACAGCAGATATTTTGTTTCCCAAAAATGCTACTCGGGGTATCTAAATTAGATACTAAATTAGTTTTAAGGAAAAGCTCAGAAAATAAAATACAACTCACCTCTTGGCATGGAGAATATTCGTCGAATACATTAAAAGGAGGTGGAGTAACATCTAAGATACCATCGCCATAATCTGGAGTTGCAAAACTATCAGGACGTTGTACTGGAAACTGGCAAGGAGGCGTTGCGGGGGAAGTTACTCCAGGGATAAACTGTGTAGGAGCTGAGGAATCCAAAGAAAGTGTTCCTATAAAAAAATAAAAATTAGTAATTTCAAGGTAGAGGATAAAAATAAAGTGAGAATTATTTAAAATTAATAATTAAAAAACATTTATGTACAAGGTGAAGGTGTCAAATGTTCTTTATCTTATTGGGTTTCTCCTTTATGAACAGAGTTAGAATGATGTGGTTTTCACAAACTTTTCACATCACTGTGCTACTTTTTTATGAAACTAAAGATGCTACACACAGATTTGCCTTAGCATTTTTAGTTCCTGATATACAGGGCGAAATTTAAAATGTTGCATTTGTTGACCCTCTTCATATCTCGGTTATCTTATCGTAAAGATAAAAACTCAGTCTGGTAGATTTCAGTGACGTAATTCATTTTTCAGTGGGAGCTGCCATTTTTGTAATATGACTTAAATTTATGTGTTTTTTAATGGGACATCCGTACATTCTGTTATTCTTGTTATGTGCTTTCTAAAATTATATAGTTTATTATATAAAGAGGACTGTCCTCTGTAATAGGTAACGGTTGGTAACCCTATTTTAACACCCTGTAGCTACTAAACAAAGCAGAATCGGATCCATATTGATATAAAAAATAAATTTTAGTTTTACTTGAGGAACCTCCCCACGAGAGATGGCACATGTTTTTTGAAACACTCTGTATATGGATTTTCAGTAAAACTAATTAAATGTATTAGGGTGGCTAAAACGACGAGCGACGTCTTCTAATCCTCCTGTTAAAACATAACAATTGGTTTTTTATATAAAAACTAGCTGTTATGTTTTAACAGCAGGATTACGGGACGTCGTTGCAGCCACCCTAAGACATATAATTATTGTTGTATTGCTTACTAATTAATTAATCAATGTTTTGAAACTAACAGATTTCCTGATGTTTTGAAGATTGCTTTGCCTATTCACAAAAAGTGAGATGAAACTGAATTACATCGCTATTTCAAATTCTGTCCAAGATTGTAGAAAAATGTATGGCAAAAAGAATACGTTAAAAGTTATAAGACTCTTACTTTAAGAACTCCTATAAGCCACACTTTGTCAATTTTATGATCTGACGAAGGCATTTAATTATTTTCTCATAAGATTGCTTGAAAAGCTTTCATTCTACAACTTCAACAGAGAGTTTCGTCAACAGAAAGGATACATTTTTAATATACATATTTATGTATATTAATACATAGTAGTATTTGGCTAACTTATAACAACTACTTTCTGCCATAAGTGACAATTCTTCTTTAACTAAGAATACCGTATGGTGCATCGAAAAACGGCACATAGGAAATACCATGTAAATTTTTGAAAGGTCAAATATTATGTCCTCAGTTAAATTTATGCAAAAGTTGTATAGAGTCTTGAAGAGGCGTTAAAGATGTACTTTTGTCTAGAATTTTATTTCATTTGGAATAGTCATTTAAAAGTTATTTGCAAAAATCTACCTTCAAATAATTGAAATTTATAATACGGCCCAAAGAAAGCTACAATTAAAATACCAGAAAAAATGTTATTGTGTCATTGTCAAATTTGATGTCACATTTTGTTTACAAAAATTTGAAGGTAACAAATAGAGTAATTTTGTATAAAATAATTAAGAATTTCGGGTAACAGTTGCATATACGGTTTTCGGCTATTTATGGATTATATAGAAAAAAAATTGTACACTTTACTACATCGTTTGTGGATATTGAAAAAGTTTTGCTTGTCGTATCGGTGAAAACCAGCCCCTGGACAGCCCACCTGATGAAGGGTAGGCTCAGAAACCAGTTGTGGGAGTGGAGCTTGGTTCCCCCCTTTACGACAAGCAAAACAATTTTCTTTTTACTTTTTATTTTATTTTTCTCTACTTTCGATTTTTCCAAATTAGAAAAAATACAGAGCTAAAGGCAAGAAAATATTATTTATTAAAAAAATTATATACTCATATTCTATTGTCCTTAGAGATTGCAAATATACCGGGGGAGGAGAGAAATTGTGTCATTATGTATTTTTTCAACCAAACAAACTTACGGGACTGGGGAGCAAATAGGGGTGCTGGGCGGAGTTAAAGCGTACATATTGGGGTAAAACATGACATACACATATTATAGTAAAGTCGAATTTTTCATTTAAAAAAATTGACTACAAACAGATTATGCACGGAATTTCAAAATATTTTAATTTAATATTTGACACATATTTGACGTTATGAGAATTTTAACACTCGATTTGACATAACAGCGACAGAAGGAAAAGCAACGTTGCCAGTCCCATTGAATTTTATTTAATATTATTGTTTTTTGAATTTTTATTTTAAAAAATAGCCATTTTTAATTATAATTTTAAATAAAAAAAATACACTAAATTAAAAAATATTTTATTACATTTTTGGTGCTATTTGGGATCCGTTTCACTTTATGGCGCTCAAAATTAAGACATTTTCTATAAAATGAAGTGTCTATGCTAATGCTGTTGAGACAAACATAAAGAACTTGAGTTGAGGAAAAATGCAATTTCTGGTAAAATAAGAGAAAACATTCTAACATACGAAAAAAAACAAAAGAATCAAACCAAACAAGACCAACCCAACCAAAACAAAACCAATCTAAACCAAACCAACCAAACCGCTCACAGCGGGTTTTCATTGTTAGAGCTATAACTAAGCAATTCTCTATACCTCTAGCGGCAATTTAGCCAATTTGTTCAACCAAGTAAAAAATTAAATAAAAACATTTTAAAACCTCTGACATCATTTTTCTCTAAGAAAAAGATGCATGAAATTCCGGACAATTTACTAGCTGATTTGGCAACCATGTATCAATCCACAATGTTTGTCAAAATTCAACCTTCACTATTGTCAGCATATCCTTCAATATAACCTGCCAATGATTTCTGAATAGAACAGTTCTTCATAGTTTTTTTGAAGAAATTTTACATTTAAAGCTTAACTAAAGGATTGTAAAATGGGTGTGTTATGAGTATCCTTAACCAGTATATTGTTTTGACCACGCCCAGCACCCCTATTCGCTCTCCGGTCCCGTAAGATTGTTTGGTTGAAAAAATACTTAAAGAAACGCAATTTCTCTCCTCCCCCAGTATATTTGCATTTTCTAAGGACAATAGAATGTGAGTATATAAAAATTTTCTTATACACTCAGATGCAAAAAAAAACGCAACGGAGAAATTTTTGGTCAAATTTAAAGTGTTATATTTTTGTTATCTTTAGGCCTATTTTTATGATTTTTTTAGCAAGCTGTAGATAATTATATCAACTTTAATTCGTAAACTCAGTTTTTTATAAACTTTAGTATTTGGCATATTATACAGGGTTAATCGAGGGGTTGTTTTTTACCCTAACTTTAAAACACCCTGTGCAATAATTTCATGTGTAAATTTTCCTAAAGTATAATTTTACAGTCAGAACCATGTCTCCTGAGCATTTTGTTTTTTGGATCATGTCAATACATGCTTTGGTTAATTTTTAAGAGCGAAATGAACTGATAGCGAACAATTTGCAATTTTTTCAATTATCGTTACTATGGATGTAATTTTTTAATATGACGAGATGGTTTTGGTGACTATTGTAACGTCATTTTATGCTGCATTGGATACTCTATACTAAAATAAAAAAAACGTTAAAGACTAACGATACGGTCCTGGTTTTAATAAACATTAATAACGAGAACAGAACTAACGATATTAAAGAAAAGATATTATACAAACAGAATAAAAATTGTAAAAAATACCCTAATACTTTGTGTTGCCTCCCTTGGCTGCTTTAACTGCCTGTATACGTCCGTTCATACTGTCACTGAGGCTGCATATATCATATCGCGTTATGATTTCCCATTCTTCTTTAAGAACCAAGCGAAATTCATTTAATAAAGCTGGTACCGGTTCGCTGGTACCTAACCCTCCTGCCAAGTATTTCCCAAACCTCGAATATGATGGGCAGTTCATATTGGTATATAGTTCACAATAAAGCCCACTTGTCATATTGAAAAATAACTTCAAAAAGATATGATAATTGAAATAATTGCAAATTGTTGGTGGCAAGTTCATTTCGCTCTTAAAAGTTAACCAAAGCATGTATTGACATGATCCAAAAAACAAAATACTCGGGAGACATGGTTCTGACCGTAAAATTATATTTTAGGGAAATTTACACACGAAATTATTGCACAGGGTGTTTTAAAGTTAGGTTAAAAAAACAACCTCTCGATTAACCCTGTATAATATGCCAAACACTAAAGTTTATAAAAAGCTGAGTTTACGAATTAAAGTTGATATAATTATCTACAGCTTGCTAAAAAAATTATGAAAATAGGGCTAAAAATGTTGTTGAGAGACTGTTCCATTAGAGACGGCAATGGTCTGATATTTAGAAATGTCAAAAGCTGATGACATTTTACTTTTGACAATTATGACATTTCGTGTTGATTTTTGCAAGAAGAGAAAGAACTTGTTTTATTATTTTCCTTTTTTATTTCACGAATTATTTAGATGCCTATTCCAAATAAAACGAAATTCTAGATGTAAGTACAACTTCCATCTAGTCACGGTATATAAGTTATAAAAATGTTTAGTCTCATTATAACTTGAACTTAGTAGCTATGTCATAATACTACGTGGTTAAAAGCTACTCGTATCACTTACAGAATTGAATATTTGCTCGAAATTAAATGAATTCTTATTACGGTACTTACTATCAGTTTCAGGTGTGTAATAAATAGATTCATTTCTCCATGGTGACATTGGTCGTACATCAACATGTTTCCCTTTATATTCAACATCTTCGAAGCTACGATATATTTCTTCATCGTACTGCGTTTCCCTTACAGGTGACAAACAACTGGATCGAGGTGGTCTTACCCTAAATTTTAGATATAATAGTATCATTAATTTTCTATCAGCAGACGTCGCGCGTCGTCAGTTCAGAAAGGAAGCCATACAGTGTGAGTCTTACATAAGTGCAAACATTTTGAGGGCTGGTAGATCTCGATAAAAGAAGCATATTTTCTTTTTAACTTTTTTCAAAAAGTCCAAAATAACCGAGTTATTTAATTTCGAAAATTTAAAAAAAAATGTATTTATTTTTAAAAATTGTGGAGCCACCGGATCTTGTCTGTATTTGCATCCCTTTGGTTACTGCTGTAACCATAGTAATATCCGAGATCAAGAAATTATACAGTAAGAAAATTTTGCGGTTAAGTAGTTCTAAAAAGTTCTCTAAAATATACAGGAAATTTAAAAGGAAATGCACGATTTTCAACATCTAGTTTTGCGAATAAGAAACTTATAGACGTATTCCTGGGATCGAACCTAACCACACCTAAAAATGTTTGCATTTATCTAAGACTCGTCGGAACAGACATTTACTCGCCGTCAACAATCGTAAGATCAGATAATCAGATTCCTATAAAACCTTTGTCAAAAACAGCTGTTCGTTTAACTTTATATTAATTTAAAAAAAACTCTATTTAGTAAGCAAACGTAGCAAACTTTCTAAAATATAAAATAATTTTTCTTTGCTTTTTTTTAATGGAACACCCTCTATATTATTTTTTTAATATATTGGGAATTAAAAAATGAATATTCCTTATATTTAAAACGTTTCAAAATTTTTAACGGTTTTGCACATATTTGCGATTTTATTTGCGCGCGGCATTTTCTACAGTAAATTTTTACCAAAGCCACCCAATGATTTTTCTGTGGTGTTTTACCGTTGAAACAGCCATATGAGATAATACCGCGAATATCTGCGCAACCGCTAAAAATTTTGAAATACTCCAAATACAAAAAATGTTCATTTTTAATTCTCTATCTAATAAAAAAATAATATACAGAATGTTCCATTTAAAAAAAAAAACAAGAAAAATTATTTTATATTTTAGAAAGTTTGACGTAGAATTTTGTATGATTAATGAACACCCTGTATGATTTAAGGTTACAGTATTTATAACAAAGTTAAATATAGACTATCTACAGTAAATAGCTAATATAATTTCGATTTCAGGACAGTTTCTTGTATTTGTAATAATTTTTTTGAGAAAGGCTGATAAATATATATTTTTTATTTATTTATTAATATCTCTGAAACCATCGAAATATATTTACTCATATCTTAGGATTATGTAAAATGATCTGAACGGAAGTCAAAAATGCAATAATATACAGGGTGTTCCATTTAAAAAAAGTCATCCCGATTCACTTACACTTTTTGAGCCATCCTGTAGATGTTAAAATATTTTCCTGAAATAGATCTTAGTACATACTTTAGGTTTGCATTTAAACAAGATTCGAATTTTTTTTATTCTAGAAGCTACAAATGCCCGACGCACTATTGCCGGACCGTATACCGGGTGCGTCTCAAAAGTGGCTCACCCCTATAACTTTTTTATTTTTTCAGTTAAAAAAAACGAGATTTGGTATGTTAGTATATGACATAAATTAGGATTGATTGATGTATTCAATTGCTTTTGGTCACTTCCTGTTTCACCGGAAATGACTACAACTTTTAATTTTTAAATGGCACCCTCGGTATTTTTTTACTTTATTCGATAGAAAATAACACTCTGAATAGAATGACATATCATATATCAACTTTTGACATTTTCGCAAATGGTTTATTTGAAATTATAACTTGCGGTTCGGAACGAAAATTTGACTCGAAATACCAAGTGTGTGTTATCATATTATTCGTAAAAAAATGCTTTTTCCAAATATGCTAATGAGCCACCCTCGTTCCATTTGAAAAAAGTGAGATATGATTAAAAATACGATTTGAGCATGTTCTAACTGGCTAGGACAACACACTAAAAACATTAGACGATCAAATCTATTTTTCCAAGGCTCCTTGATTAAGAATTAGTGCTTTTAACATAGCCATGGCTCTCTAGATTGAATTTTAAAATACGATTTTTTTATTAAGCGAGAATAAAGCACTATAATAAAAAAGAAGAATGAAATTATTGGGCAAACCTACAGTAAGATTAGCCATGAAACATGGCTAAAATACGACAACCCGTAGACACTTAGTGTTCCTGCCTTCCGGCTTCATCAATACGGGAGGAATCAGCTAGGGATCAGTCGTATTTTAGCCACGTTTCATGACTAATCTTACTGTGGGTTTGCCCAATAATTTCATGCTTCTTTTTTAAAAACATATTTATATTAATGACAAATACTATTAGTATACATACCGTTCTTCAAATGAAGAGACCTCATAGTCGCTGAAGTATAAAGGTGGAGGTGGTGATTCATCTGTAGCAATATCTAGACCCGGATGGAAATATTGTGGTGGTCTTCGTCCAATGTGAAGATAATATATGATTAATGATATATATGATATATTTTAGTGATCATTAAAATCATGAGATCAAGTATTCTACTAATTCCTAGGCGTTCTGTAGAATACATAAGTCATTTAATGAAACTACTTAGAAATATGTTCATCACCTAAACATTGTAGTCAAAGTATTAAAAATTAATGGCTTTATAAGTACTTTGCCTACGTGAATATCAGGCAATGTATTAAATATCATAATAGGAATAAAATATTTGGACAGAGGACAGGTTGTAAAGATTTCTGGCGTTTCTTCAGTGGAAAGCGTAATCAACACTAGGGTCCCCCAGGGCTGTGTCCTTAGGCCAATACTTTTGGCCTCAGGACGCGCCCTTAGAAACACAAAAAAACGCTTTTTGCGACACTGCAGTTTCCCAGGCGACTCGGTGACAGAATACTCAAGACAGGATGTTGGTAGCACCATCGAGGAGTAAACAGTGGTTCTGTGTCAACCGCTCCTAATACAAATAAAATTATATTTTCCTTGCGGTCAATGTTGAAGGTAAATGAGGGACACAGGCTTATGTAAAGTTTCTGGTGGTCCTGCAACCTGGATCCAAAGCTGCAAGGGTATCTGCTGTGTGCAGGCATTTTTTTATCTGAAAATTTGACATTCCTCTTTCAATATATACTTGAAAATATAAAATAACTAAAGCAAAATAAGGCGCAGTTAAAATTCCATGAAGATGTGCATATATACAATACCAGGAATAAGAAAGATATAGTTATACCGTTGATTGAATGAATTGGGAACATGCTCCACCTAAGGGGCAAATTCGAAACAAGGCTCCACTACAAACTTTTATCCATTACAACGGTCAAATAAATGTTCAAATGGTTCCTTGTATGATGACACATATAATATGTAATCTTATGGTATAAAAAAGTCAGTGCTGTCTTTATCATAAAATCTTTTGATTATAGGGTAATTCACAAAAATATACTTCAATTTAATTTTGTTGTAAACTTACCTATTATCATCAGTTGTGATTTCTGGTGCTCCCAATCGAGTAAAAAGGTCACCTTGTTCCGCAGCTTGCGGTGATGAAGATCCGCCTGGCCTACATGGTGAAAATGAACGAAAATCTAGACCTACAAAAAATAATGTATAAAAAAATCTTTGAGCATATTAACAGGGGCCAAGTTAAGCACAGCTGTAACATCCTTTTCTCAAAACCATTAGCTGCAGGTTTGACCACCCTGTAGCTTCGTTGCAGATAAAGTAAGAATATTAATTTTTACTAATCATGAGGACATACTATAGCTGTCAAATTATCGCTTGTCAAATTTCTTTAATTTCGACATTGACTCACAGACAGATCATCAAAATTCTAAGATACTTCTAGAAATGTCACAAATTTCAAATTTTTAATTTTAGGTAGCTTCCCAAGTAGCATTTTTAGACACAAAATCGAAACAAAATTTCTGCTAGAAACATTGCCAAACAGTTTCGTCAAATTTTTGATACATATGTTTCGTAAAAAAACGCTTTTTGTTTCGAAACATTTTATCAAAATATGGTTTCGCTGTATAAGCTATAACAATAAAGACCTTAGTGTCACAGATTTTTCAAAGCTTTTAAGAAACAGATGTGGCTCACATTTACAAGATTTCGTACCCGTTTTCTGCCTAAAAAGTTTCCATAATTTATTTGATATTTTGTCAAATATGAGAACATGTCCTTACTTTAATTGTTTGGATTTTGATCTGCAGTTTTTGCATTTAAGCATTCTTCAAGTTTTTATAATACTATAATTAAGAAAGCAGAAGAAAGGACATGTGGTGACTAAAAATACAGATATTTTTCATAAACGATTTTATAACAACTTGTTGTACGCATTACAGAGATATATGATTTGTTATACGCATTACATTTTGTTTTATTTTTGTTTTAGAAATAAATGTAATCAGCTAGTACCCATGTTCAACAAGAGACCGAAGAAAAATGTTACAAGCAAAGTTTTTTTTCTCATTTTTCCGCAATGGAATACACGTTTATGTTTTAATTGTGTTATAATAAGTAAATAAAAATATTTTAATTATTTTGACCAGAAGTTTTGATTGGCGTTGTTGACAGGTGACTAATTCGAAATTTCTGCACAGATAGCACTAAATTGAAACATTTTGGAAACAAGGTTTCCATTAATTTATTGTCGATTCGTTCTCGAAACACGAGTTTCTCTCTTTTGAGACACAAATATGATATAATAAAATAATGAATTAAAATTCCGCCATGTTGGCTACTGATAGCGTTTTAACTAAAAATATATTTTTTTATCGGCTGTTGAGCTTTTAAACTCATAAGAAAGCCGTTCTATATTAATTTATATATTTTTATTTTCAGAACCATGATATAGAAATAAAAATAATAATCTATATTTCAAACAAAAATATTTTGTAGCAACAAATAATGATATATAGAAGGTACATTAAAAATATGAAAGTAAGTACATTATTAAATTAAACGAGGAATTTGCTTTTGCAGGACATTTTTTGTGCAACAAAACCTAAAAACAAAGATCTTAAAACAAAAAAATTATGGCGGATGTCGACATTGTTGATGGTTCTTTTGATTTTCAAATCCATACACAGAGATAGACTATTTTAATTTGGTATTTTGTTTCTTAACATTTACAAACAGTGGCCGCTGAAAACGGGAACATCTTGGACACAAATTGCAGAAAATATTTCCTCTAAAAGTTTTGATTCTGCATCGAAACAATTCAGGAAACGACTAGTGCCAACACATTGGAAACACGTGTAATAAAACCATATAATATATATCGGTTTCGAAAATGTTTCCTATTTGTAGCATACCGTTTCCATTGTGTGCCAAGAAACAGACACGATTATTAGAAACATTACCTAAAATGCGTCCAAAAATGCTACTTGGGTTTAAGCATGTAGCGAAGGAAAAAATGAGTAATCCGAAATACCCCTATGGATTAAAAGTTAGCCGTCTAGCCGCTCCCGGTAATTGACTTTCCAGTCGACAAAGAGGTAGAAAACTAGAATTAATCGATTTCATACTGTCTGAATTTATCTGTATATCAATGGAACAACAAATATTATTCAAGGATTATTAATTTTTGCTATTCAAACTTTTGCCTTAATTTCGACTGCGACACCGTCATCAAAATTCTAAGGTACTTCTAAATGGGTCACAAACTTGAAATGATGAATTTTAGGTAGCTTTAAACTTATAACAAATTAAACCAAACAAAAAAAAATCCCGAAATATCCTTATGAATTAAAAGTAGACAAAAAGGTAGAAAACTATAATTAATCGATTTGATATTGTCTATTTTTTTTTATTTAACATTTGATATTAGTAGAGGGAGATGGGAGTTTCTGCATCCTCCTCCCGGCGCAGGAAGTGACGTCATGTGACGTCATCAGATAAGAACGGTTAAAATGCAAGAATAAACAGGTTTGCTAATAAACAAGAATAAACAGGTTTGAACCGCTTTGAACTACTTTGAACCGCTTTTTAGCTTAAAACAACAGCCCTGTTCATTTTTTGTCCAAACCCGTTTATTTCTATTTTAAAGCGGTTGTTTCTTGTTTAAACCTGTTTATTCTTGTTTATTAGCCTATTTTACATGTTCAAAGCTAATTTACTTCAGTCACTTCCTACGCCGGGAGTAGGATGCAGAAACCCCCATCTCCCTCTACTGACATTGATAATTTTAATATGTATGTGCTTAAAGATACCTTCATCATAACTAACACCAAGATCATCTGGTTGAATATCGTAATCTGGAACAGGAAGTTGCGAACCAGTTGTCGGAGAAAATGCAGGTTTAGGGGGCATCCTTTGAGGTCGTTGTGTAGAAAAAGGCTATAAAAACATTATTTTGAGGCTTTAAACTAAACATAAATAATAGTTACTAACCGCTTGCTCATCCATAACTGTCGGAATTCCAGCTGGGCCTATAAAAAGCATATTATGATTAAATAATTTTGTTTATTTATTTAAATTAAAATAAATTAAATTATTATTATTAATTAAAATGTCACAAAAGTAGCAAATGAATCGATGAGAGTGACAGTAGGATTTAAATAAAAGGCGTTAAACAAATATAAAATACCATGGTTAACTGAGAAAGTTAGTTACTTATTAGTGCTAATAATTGGTTAATACTTTAGTTGTGACATAAGTCAGATGCATTGGATTGGACTTCAATCCGTTGGTGCAGATAATACAAAAAAATAGAAACCTTGGAAATGTAGTGTTATAGGAGAATTCTAAAGATATCATGGATGGAAAAACTAATATAAGAGTATTGAAGCTGAATATGAATACCGTAGTGATTAGAAACATAAAGACAGAAAACTGGAATATTTTGGACATCTTATGAAACATAAGAAATACTAACTATATCATGCAAGGACAAATAAAAGGGATATGCTCAGCTGGTAGAAGAAAGACCTTATGGCTCAAGAACATGCGAGAGTGGTACGGAATTAACACCAAGGCGTTGTTACGAAGAGCCGTGAATAATAGAGAAGTATCATTGATGGTAGCTAGTGATCCTAGTTTTTCGAAATATCGAAAAATCTTAATTTCTGCTAAATCACTTCAAGGTTCATTTTTACGCTTTTCTTGCATTATGGATACTCCAGTTGTGTAACAATAGAGAACTCTAGTTGTTGAACTCTAGTTGCTAACAACTCGTTCACAAAAATAAACACGCTGATGACATAACGAAAATGTTCACGCAAAATAAGCAAAAACGCCTTAAAGGCAGATTTACACGTATCTAGTAGCTGGTGCCAGTAACACGGGTATGCCAGCTCTTCACTTGCGCTGCGATGGACTATGTCGTTTACACGTTTATGGTAGCTGATGCCAGTTTTATTGGTACGCCATTTACAATTCGGATCATCCTGTATATATTCAAAAATCTATTTTAAATATCTAAATCGGAGTTTAGAAAACATCTTGATATACAGATGACAGATGCCAAATATAAATGAAAAGAGACTACAAAAATCCAGGAGAAAAAAGCATAAGAAGGCCACAAAAGGGGTCCAAAGTTTGTTATTTTCGGAAGAGCATATACACCTTAACAAAAGTTCGAAGCATAAAGATGCAGTAAATAAGTGTACAATTAATCTAGAATATGAATTCCTAAAACCTCCAACAACTTAAAATAGAGTGATCGCAACTAAAGAAGCGCGATCTAAACAAACGCAAATAAACAAGCCAGGAGCGTCATCAATATTTTGCCTGAGAACGTCTTCTCAGCGCTAGACAGTGCCGCACGAAATAATTCGAGATATTATTTTATAGCGTTAGAATAAAAATATCTAAGTTCGCGCTCATGGATCACCGAACCGTCGAATCGCAAGCAATTGGCCGCTGTACTATTCTTGACATCGTTTGCACTTTGCGTCTACGCATTTACATGTATTGTTTATGGATTTCCGTGATGCAAGTGACATTTGAAGATACGAGTGGTTAAGAATAGGTACCCTTGCCGAACATTGGAAAACGCGGGGCCATAGTATTTAAGAAGAAGAATCGCAAGCAAGGGGCGGTCACTATAGAGTCGCGTCATTGATGGCACTTCTGGTTCCTTCTTTGGCTGCGACCACTCTACCTGTCTGAAGTTCATCTAGAGCTGTATTTATTATACCTGCTGCTTCTGGAGATCCTTGTCTAAGATTCATTTCTTGTTCCCATGCCTTTAACTCCAACTGAGCACGTTTTAGTTCTGAAAGGTAAAGAAACGTAATAAGAATGAACTATGGAAATACAAATTTGTCTTACGTTGGTCTCTATCTGGAGGTGGAGGTGTACATGACTCTTGACATGCCCCTACAACAAAATTTATTGATATTTTAGTTTCGTATTAGCAAATAATGTAAACATTAAGGACACAGATAAATTTGAGTAGACCTCATTATGCAAATATTGTTTATAAAGAAACTATGGTTAGTTTAAGCATTACCGAAACCTATGGACAAATAGCAATAGTTCAATTGCAGGTATTTACCGTTGAATAAAAATACTAAGCGGGAAGTCAAATAATAATTTTATATTCATACATTATAGGCGAAAAGAATGTCAAGAATCTATTTTAAAATCCTTTTAGCAATTTTCTTTGGCTTCTTTCAAAATTAAATTTTTTGTAAATCCATTCCGCTGTTTTGTTTTTATTGAGGTGAAACTTTCAACGCGCGATGGGGGTAAAAGTTCAAGGCTGTGACAAGACGCGGCCTTGACACGACAGGGTCTTGACATAAGAGCTAGCGAGACAAAAAAGTGGTAAGTCAATGAGGAAGTTGAGATCGGTCTTTGGAGCGTCGTAACTCGGGCCCTATGTGAGCTATGTGACTGAAACTCGGAATGTCGAGCCCCATCTTTTCATGATATTTTGACGCCGTTTCGTGCATTATGAATTAATTCTTAAAATTTTTAAAAGGATCAAATTCTACTTATATACGGTACGGCTCAGAAACTCGCGAACATTTAGCTTAGATAAGATATGATAGACCGGATAAATCTTGCGTTGCCGAACATATTGTTGATAAAGAACATTGTATAGATCTTAATAATTTAAAATTAATTAAACAAGTCTCAAATTACAGGCAATTAGATGCATATGAAAGCATCAGAATTAATAAATGTAAAGATAGTATGAACAGAGACAACGGTCCAATTCCTTCAAGTTCTTTGTTCCTACTACTCTAGTGGCGGAAATCTAACTGTTACGCTCAGTGGGCTCTGACTCGGTTGGCTAGTTTTTGCCACGCCCACTCGGTGCCTACTGAGCGAGTATATAAACACTCAACTTGTAGATTGTACTTTAGTTTATAATCATCTGCTGATGATGCTAACATGGTTAGCGAAACGCGCGTCCAGTGTAAAAGTAAAAGTGTTTTGGTGTATTGTGGTGATTTAGTGTTTTTATTTTGCTGTGTAACACCAAAGGTTCCAACCCTCAACTGTAATCTAGCTCTTAGACTATAACAAACTCTGAAATTTTTGAAATAACAAGTTTAAAAGCTCGCATCTTAACTTACTTTTGAATGTTAGATAAAATCTAACATGCGACTTATCGCGTTATGGAAAGGGTAACGACCGATCCCGGGTTAATTTTATTTTATTTGAATTAATTTTTATAATTAAAAATGTTTAATTATTTAGCTTACCTCGTGTAGGTGTACTTCTTCCTGATCCCGAATCTTGATCTCGGTAGAAACTACAAAAAATAAAAAATGTCTATAAAAAATAGTTAACAATTTAGCATATGTTTTAATAGTCGAACGCACCATTTTGTTCTATATTACGTATAGTACTAGATAATCAAGTCCCTGCAACAGATCACCAGACATCTATTATTGGTTCTATTGTAAAGAAAGTATTGTAGGAATTTCGTTCCAGTGCAAACCTATTAAACTGTGTACTAGGAGTTTTCTCATGAAATTTTGTTCATTTGTAGCCAGTGTGTGAGATAAATGAGAGTGCGTGAGGGTAACTTAAAAAAACCCTGTATTATTGCATTTTTGAGTTCCTCAATCCTGATCAGGTTATGTAGTCTTATATTTAATATTACATTGTTTAAAAGTTCCAGATAAATAAATAATATAAGTATAAAAAGATATATTCCAGCAAAGAAAATTAAAGCAGATCTGTAAGCACGGCACAGTCTAGCCCCCGCGAATTCGAGCAGAGTCATACCATCCTTTTTTCGAAGGTATTAGTGGCACTTTTAACTTTTGACCAGCCTGTAACTTCGTTGTGGATAAAGCAAGAATATTAATTTTCACTAAACATGAGTAAATACTATAGCTGGCTAGATTACCAGAATATCTAGTAATTATACCTCATACTTTATTAATTATTGCTTGTCAAATTTCTTTAATACCGACATTGGCTCCCTCACAGATCATCAAAATGCTAAGGTACTTCTAGATGTGTCATAAACTTCAAATTTTGAATTTTAGGTAGCTTTAAGAGTCTCAGGGGTCGGGTAAAGTGGGTGTGTAGCTGAAGGAAATATACAGGGTCGCTGGAAATCTTCGATTATTAGGTAAAATATAAGAGGTATCGCAAAAAGTTAAATACAAAAGTTATAATGTTTTTAAATATCTAATAGCGGGTAATAAACTTAAGTAAAAAGGTCGGTCATAAAGTTTTTATTTTTTTAAATGGAACCCATTGCATATTTCGGTTCTTCCTTCAACTCAAAGCAAAAATCGAGATACACACAATATACCAACCGTTTCCGAGTTATTGACTGTAAAGTAAATATTTTCGTTACATTTTTCTCATTATATCGTTTATACGTTTTTTATATATTATAGATTTTTTTGCGGAACCTCGATAGTGGTACACATCACTAACGATGGTTGTTAGTTTAAATTGTTTAAATATTTTATTTACTTTCTGGTTGCCTATCGGTTATCGATAATAATTTGTTTATTTTTAATGAAAACGAAGGTTTATTATTAATATTTTGTTTAGTGTTGTATAATTAAGATGCAATTGAGGGATTTCTGGCAAAAATCCCATTGGTCAGATATTTCGAAATTTGGAAAAACTAAAAAAACGTATATCTTGCTCCCATTTAAATTTAAATTGTCGTTTTTTGTGTGAGCTCTAGTTATAATCTGAAATTACAGAAAACTAGTTTTCTTTAGTTTTTTTCTTATTTTTGGGCTTATAAGGGCGTGAATTTATTTGACTTGTGGGGTTTTTGCTGGAATTTTGGCGAAAACCGTGGAAACAAGCAACTGTTCGAACAATTACGAACGACAAACAACCAAACCACAACAAGTAGCGGACTAGTAGGGTTTTTGCCGTTAAGACTTGTGACTTGTGGGGTTCTTGCGGAATTACGGTATTTTTGATCGTATGCACGGGCTAACTTATAGCACTTTTTCCAAATTCGTTTGGTAGGAACGTTATGACTAACAAATTAATGTTAGCGCCATTAACTCATTTTACCCATTTTTTGACTAATGGGGCTTTTGCCAGAAACCCCTCAATTGTTTCACACATTTTTTGACGATATGTAAGAAATTTTATCGTATGTATTATTTTTACTATTAATTATAGAATTTTTATACTGACATTTGGTACTTCACGCATGTCTAAATGAATGGGAGAATTCTATAAAGGGACTTTTGTTTTGCCGAAAATCACTCTCTCTCATCTCGATCTTCTTTGCTTAAACACCTAGCGTTTTTTTTGCTCCAGACACCAGCACGAGGTACGACTTGGAATTTATTTATTAGTTTTATTTTTTGTTAAACATTTCTTACTATCTAATATGATTTAATTATTTGATTTAATTAGTTAATTATTTTGTAACTTTAAATTCCTTTTTATATTTTATCGTTTTATCTCGCAGTTCATTTTTTTATCATCATTTCTTTATCTTCTTATCTTAGTAGCACGTGTATAGTAGTTTTATAATTTTTCTAATACCTTTAACGTTTATTAGTACTAATTATTTTTATTTTTCATTTTTATGTACTGAGACGCAAGCTGTCGAGCAAGAACCCGCAGAGGTGTTCGATTTAGCAATCTCAGTGGCCATGAATAGAACCAGCCACTGCAGGAGTACTCTCAGAGACGAACCAGGAGGGACTCTGGTAAGTAAGGATTTTTTATAATATTTTTATTATACGACTTATGTCACCTTTAACGAATCCTTGCTTGCCAGAAGGCAACGTTTGTGTTATCTGGACCCTGTAGTGGTGGTGTCTATTGGCAGGCCATTCGACAGATAGATTTTTGTTTTTTTTTGTTGTTTTTGGGTCACTCTAGGGATCATATCTTTGGCAACGACGTGACAGTCCACTTGGCGATTTTTGAACACCACCACAAAACTGGGTACTTATTAATTGTGTTGAGTAGAATACTACTGTTTGTGTTATCTTCTAGGAAGATACGAGAATTAACCCTCCCCATAAGTAGCGTACGCACTGAGACTGGTGGAGTCTCACAAGCTCTCCAACGTTAGCCGGACAATCACGCTACCCACCAGCGGATGAGTGCAGCGAAGAGGGTGAGGCCTTTCTCCCAACCAACCGAAGCAGAAACACACATAAGTATTCCAGTTTATATTTTTGTTACTGACAAGACTGTCACAGCCAATTGTAGTTGATTGTTAAAATTTGTTAATAGAATATAAGTCATTAATGAAATTTTCTATTGTATTATTTAATTCCAAAGCATACTCCACAAACCAGTAACTTTTGGAATTTTGTGGGTTATATGACTTTTGAAAATAACACTTAAACAATTCGATTTAATTAATTTCGATGTGTTAATAAAATTATCAAGTCTGGAAATTACAAAATTTTTGTTTGATATTTTTTTTTACGTTTTCTAGGGACCGAGTTGAAGTTCGCGCTGGTTCGCGCTAAAGATTTTAGACAGTGACAGTTATTTTTGCGTTTAACGGACGAGCGCACAGTGCGGCGGAAGATAAATCTTGCGGGACAAAACCGTTTGGTTAGAAATAAGCCAAAAATGTGTACTGATAAGAATAAATAGTAGACATTCCAATTGATATAAAAATGCATGAATTATTTTTGGTCGTATATATTCTTTGTATTTCGATACATTTTTATCAACCAACCATGTAATATCGTTCCTGAAATTTTGTCCCGCTAGAATGGAGCGCTGGTCCCTGCGTGACGTAGCATTCCACAGTGACTACGATAGCGGCGATTTGACGCGATCGAACAGTCCTTTAGAATATATACAGTCTTTGCCTAAATTCAACAATTTCCCAATTATGAAGTTTTGATTTTAAAATGTTAAACAAAAATTTTGTAATTTTCAGGCTTGATATAATCTTATTTTATACATCTATAAACGCCAACTCGAAAACTAATGTCAATTATTATTAAGTATCACAGTTTCCGCAGAATGGCATCGCTAAATGAAACCAAACACATCGAAATTAATTAAATCAAATTGTTTAAGTAATATTTTCAAAAGTCAATAACTCGGAAACGGTTGGTTTGAGGTACATTGTGTCGATTCTGATTTCGATTTCGATTCGTGATCTCGATTTTTGCTTAGAATTGAAGGAATAACCAGAATATGCAATAATATACTAGGGGGTTCCGTTTGGAAAATACGTCCAAGTATACAGTTTAGCTTTGCAGATAAAGAGAAAATAGCTATGATCTTTATTATTGAATCCATAGATGCCTGACGCGCTGATGTGAAACCCTGTATAGATATCTATCTTTCTTAATAAATGTTGCTGAACACAATACCTTTCATACATCTCAAAGGTATCTTGAAGACCAGATCCTTGAAGGGGACTGCCAGGTTCAAGGGCTGGAGGACTGTCAAATAGGTTATCGTTGCAAAAACGATATTTCGCTCGAAAACGAACATCATCGTAATCTAAAAAGCATTTGATAAAATGGTTATAAATCTTGAAATAATTATTTATTATATTACTAGAAATATTAACAAAGAAGCCACGAGGGCAAAAAACTTAAGAATTAAAATATTACATTTTGTGAAACGTCACTAGATTCAAAATTGAGAGTGACATATTTCTCAGTAACTAAAGCGGTCCATACATTATCAAACAAATTGTGCAACCATGCACTTAGTAAAATTTTGATCAAACTTTTTATTAAAAGTTGTGTATTGTTTGAGAAACAATCATGTCCTCCCGCATTGCCATTGCGTCAATTATTATCATATATACCCTAGATGATATCAATGATACCAAAAATCTAAAAAGAAAACAAAGAATTTGGATGAAAGAACTAAAATATTGCACAACGAAGCGCAACACACATATATACTACACAACGCGCTACGCAAACGCCTGTTGCACAAAAGAATTCAAACATTCTTGAAACTTATCAAACAATTGCGCAACGCATCAAACGTTACCATACATTGGCAACTCGTTGCGCAACAGCCTGTGTTGCGCAATTTGTTTGATAGTGTATTGGCCGCTTAAGATATGTGACGCGCACTTAAAAATTAGAAAGCACTCAAAAACTGAAGAGTACTTCAATTCCATATCTACAGTATCAATAAAAGCAGCTAAACTATTGTCAACAATTATATATCGTCCTATTGCTGCCAAAAGTCACTAACTAACATTTTCCGAACAACAAAATTCAATCACTAACTATATTTTGAAGCGGAGAATCGATTGAAAAAGTCATTAGCTACGATTTCTGGCTATTTATGTTTTATTTTACTACGGAATAGTTACTAACTATAACATCTTTATGCAATGCAATTCATCTTTAGACGCGTTTTTCTCGGAAGTAACAAAAAGTAACTTAGTGACTTTTGGCAGCAATGGGACGAATGATTTACCTGGCGGATTTTGTTGTTCTTGAATACCATCTTCCCATGGCAAAGAAAAGTGTGGTATATCAGATACTGGCGGTTCAGGTTCCTGAGAAAAATTTTAATTTTATAAAAACGTGCTAGTAAAGTATGTATTATTTTATACCAACAGAGTCATTATTGTTTAAAAGTAATTCATTAAAAACATGCAACTTACTGGATATTTCCCTCGTTTTTTAATTCTTTTTGCAGCAGGAAATCTTTGAACAGGAACAGGAGCTGGTGGTGGACTTTCAAAATCCGAATTGTAGAACGGCGGAGTTGAACCCGTTGGCCTAAAACATTTTATTATTAAAAAATACATGTGGCGGATTCATCTCTCCAAAAAAAATCCTATCACAGCCACCGCATCAAAGATCGACGGGGGTTATTATCGATATTGTATTAAATAATTTCTATGCATTTCATGGAATTATTGAATTTAAAGGTTTACCTGTTTTATAGCATAATATATTATCTTATGATAGGCATTTCATTGTAAATGCTGTTTATTTTGTAATTTTTATAAATAATTGTTCTGGAACTCTTACTCTCTGGAAATATGTCGCCACTTTTTTAGCATTAAAACCTTTTGCAAAATATTTTTTTACAATTATAATAATTGTTAGTGCATATTATTATTAGTATTAGTATAAAACCAGAACTTCGCCATTGCGCGAAATTGAAAATAAAATAGCATACTATAGTCTGGCCCAATGATGAACTTCTGACAGTGACACTTGTCCGTTATTTCAATTCGAATGTAAATTGTTTTTAATGTCATTTTTTAGATGTTTTTTTTTCTATCTGTCGTTGGTCACTGGACAAACTATAATTAAAATTATTAATAATAAATTTCTAAAGTAATGATACTATCCAAAAAAATCCTATGTGAGTATTTCGCCACTGCACTGCAAGAAAATCTACGAAATAAAATAGTTATTTTTTGTAAACACTTCTGCGTTAAACCCAAACGGACACTACTTGTCAGAAGTTATGTTTATAGTTATACAAATTTGCCTAACAAAGAAAAAAATGCTGAACGTTTCGGAAAGTTTATCTCTTTCCGTCATCGGAAGCAAAAAAATACAAAGGATAAAGAAAAAAACTATTTAAAATATTTAAATTCAACTATGTAACGATGTTACTTAATTTTGTGATGATTAATTTGTAGTGATTGAATTAATTAGCTTTTAATTATCAAATTATTTATAAAATAATTATTTTGTTAAAAGCAAGTACTAGAGTCTTGGTTCGTATCGATCGATACTCGCCGAGATACGGCGCGCGCCGTAATCCCTACTGTGTTCTGCTTTCCCCACTCCTATAAGCGAGAGCAGTACCGTTAAAAAATAAAAATTCGTCAGTTGCTTGGTGCCTGGTTTAGTGAATAGACGACAGCTCCACTCTGCTCCGCCGAAGAAAGAATTCGATAGAAAGCCTAGCTTTCTAGAAAGTGCTCACCCGACTACTTCCCGCACTCTCCGCAATATCCTGTCTTGCGCTGTCTTTTCTAGTGTAGTGCTACGCCACGTTTTCATCAAGTGAAGCTTGTCGTTTGAAAACTTTCCTTTCAGTTTTCCTCACTCAACCACGTGCTCGTGTGTCTTAGCCAACGCCTTTGGAAAGGCGGTGGGTGGCTTTACATTAAATTGTGAAAGGCCGTTCTCTGTCTTTCAAAAGGTGGCTAACTATGCAGAGCAGTAGGTAGCGTCCTTTGGTCAGTACTTTCACAAGTACTGTCGGGAGGCATTTCCTGTGCCTAATCCATCAGTGATTGAAGGGAAAGCGTGAAAAACCTACAATATTGACCGTGGGGTGCTGTTTTCACGTACGGTAGGATTGTCGACTAGTAAACAAACGAAAGACAAGTTTCTTCTCCGGGTTAAAATAGGGCTTAACTAGTAACTTTTTGATTTCGCGATCTTGCCACGCCTGCGCTACCCGACAGACGTCAGGAGACCGCCTGTCGTCTACGTCCGAGTGCGCATGCGGTGCCCGATTTTCTTTTAGAAAGTAACAAGACACTGTGTAGCTGACTGAAGCGCTGTGTTGGGACCAGACGTTTTTCGAAAGTTAACACATGCGCAGTGCATTCTCCGACCGCAAATACTAGGGTGTAACCATCCATCCATCGCCTCCATTTCAGGGCCGCGCATGCGCCCTTGGTTAGAAAATTGAAAGTCTCACGCTTGCGTAGAATCTTAATCCGCGCCATTTTGCGCGAAACCCCTGAGCCAAGACTTTACAGCAGCTTCTCAACCAATTTGAGTTTAATAAAGATTATATATATTGTTTTAATTTAAACTGATTGTTTTATTTTGTCTGCACCTCTTCATACCTGGAGTCTCCACTGTTTAAAGGCTACCCGTACTGGTAAACGTGGACCTCTTCCACTATAAATAACAGAGGTGGCGCCCGAGAGATCTAGATTTACCACTGGGCGTCAATAAGGCTATTTTTCACAGAACCAAAGAAATAGCCTAACAACTATTCGAGAACACTTTCCTTTTTTAAAACAGATACGTCTACAAGAAATAAATAAATAACTGCTTTTATTGTCAAAAATTTTTACAATTTGTAGACAAAGGTAAACTAAACAAACAAACAAAAGAGAATAAAAAAGATTATACAATTAAACCGTTGACGTTCTGTTAAAATGACATTATATCAAGTTAAACTTCAAAATTAACAATTACTACCTGATAACAATTACTTAATAAGGTAAAACCAAAAAGCCCCAAACTTTCTGTATGATTATTTTTAAATTTTACGTATGTTATGTTTATTTATGTTATGTTCTTTAAAATCAATGAAGCGATTGCTATACATTACTAACTAACATCTACAGATGCATGAGCAATACATTTATTTTTATTAGATTGAATTAAAAAAGCCTCTTTTATTTTTCTTTTAGAGGCTATCGCTTCTTTCATTATAATTTTGGCGTTATTAAAATTTATTCTATACCCTGTGTCCCACGAATGCTGACAAATCTTAGATTTGTGAAAATCTCCCTTTCTTAAATAATCTTTATGTTCTTTAATTCTAACATTTAAAGGTCTAGATGTTTCACCAATGTAAAATTTATCGCATTCACATGGTATTTGGTATATTACATTTTTTGTTTGTTGTTCTGTATTCATTGGTTTAGTATGTGATAAAATGGATCTAAGTGTATTTTGTATTATGTATTGCTCATGCATCTGTATATGTTAGTAATGTATGGCAATCGCTTCTTTGATTTTAAAGAACGTAACATAAATAAACATAACCTCGAACATAACATACGTAAAATTTAAAAATAATCATACAGAAAGTTTGGGGCTTTTTGGTTTTACCTTATTAAGTAATTGTTATCAGGTAGTAATTGTTAATTTTGAAGTTTAACTTAATATAATGTCATTTTAACAGAACGTCAACGATTTCTTGTAGACGTATCTATTTTAAAAAAGTAAAGTGTTCTCGAATAGTTGAATTTAAATATTTTAAATAGTTTTTTTCTTTATCCTTTGTATTTTTGTTGCTTCCGACGACGAAAAGAGATAAACTTTCCGAAACGTTAAGCATATTTTTCTTTGTTAAGCAAATTTGTATAACTGTAAACATAACTTCTGACAAGTAGTGTCCGTTTGGGTTTAACGCAGAAGTGTTACAAAAACAAAAAATAACTATTTATTTTGTAGATTTTCTTGTAGTGCAGTGGCGAAATACCCACGTAGGATTTCTTTGGAGAGATGAATCTGCCACATAGGTACATTTTTTAACGATACTATCAATCGTCGTCGGCCCATTTCTTACCTTCGTGATGGACCTGCCTCTCCCTCAGGAGTTGGAAATAATCTTGCTCTACATTGGCTGAGATTTCTTCTTGGTGTCTAAAAGAATAAATTAATATTTGAGATTCGAAAAGAGATATACACTCCATAAATTTAATAGTTATTACAGATACTTTTAATCAATATCTTCCTCTAGGAGATGCGAGACCTTGCCATTGGTCGTTTTGGTTATTAATTAATTCGTTTGATTTTCATAAGATGAAGATATTTACCTGGAAATCTTCATATTGATCCTCGCCAGCTGAATTAAAGGTACCTGCTGCACCTAAAAATATTATATTACTGGAATACGTAAAAAAATACTACCGCCTAACCATATATATAACCTAACCATAAAAAATGAACGGCTATTTTTAACTTGGGTCCATTTTCTTTAGTATACAAAATAAAGTAATTTAATATTGATAGTTTATTTAGAGATTTTTTGGGGGTAAGCATTCCTGCCTCCTGCCAAACTAGGAACATTTGTTTTCCGATTATCAAAAAAATACATTTTTGGACACAATATGTAACTAATACTGTTTGGAACTATTACCTAAATGTCTGCGTCTTCCTCTTGGTGAAGCTACTTTACGCCAAGAATCCTTTACTGCCCCCCGACATGGTGCTCGGTCAAATTCGGACATACCAGGAATTGGTCTTGGTTCTATGGGAGTCTATAAAAACTATATTTTTATACAGGAAATAAATGAATTACTGCGAAAAATTCGACATATACATATAAGATGGCTTTTCATAAATATAAAGAATATGCTTTTCGCGTTTAATCAGGGATGGCATGATTCAAATCAACTGATTTTTTTTATTTTAATCATATCTGTTAAATAAAAACTACCAAGTTTTTAAAAATTTGGAATAAACTTGAAATAAAAAATGGAAAAATAATAATTGTAAAAGTTATAAAAATATGTCCTAGGCCTAGGAAACTAAAAAATATTTCTAGATATACCCTATATCTATTCATCAAGATTTTACTAATTTCATTCGAAATTAGTATATCTAATGTTAAAGTAATAATAGTTAAGAATATTTTTACCATAATTCACGATTTAAGACTATTTCCGAACAATAGTATATTGTTTTATTATGAGTAAAAATTATACTTTTTTTTGATGAGATGGTACGTTTGACGGACCAGCTTTACAGTCCGATGTTACAGGAAAGCACAAAAAGTTCATTCTACTCCGAATAGAACATATTATTTTTTATTGTCAAACGTTACAAGTAATTTTTCAAACGTTGCAAAGAATAAAAAAGTAGCACCTTGTAAGTAATTATACATGGTGAGTCTTAAATAAGTGCAAATATTTTTAAGGGTGGTATATTTATATTGTTTTTAAAAAATTGTTTTTCTCAAAAATTATGCGATGTGGCGTTTTTTACAAGAGACAAAAAATGTAGTAAATACTAGAAAGACCATTTTATAAAAAAAAATCGACCATTTCGACCATCGAGCAAAATCCTGTTATACTTGCAAAACTAGATCGTAGCTTCTCAATACTAGATGTATTTTTCAAACTTTCTCCTAGAACTCTCTTCATGTTTATTTCAGTTTGTACCAATCAGAGGTTGGAAATATTGGAACAAAACAAAAAGAAGATCATTCAGAAAACTGATCCTCATGAGATAATGGTTCTTTTAGGTAGCATGATTGTTATATCCTACAATCGTGTCCCGAAAGATCATATGTACTGGTCTCAAAATACATTATTAGGTAACGTAACGATCAAAACAGCTATGAGTAGAAACAGATTTCTCTTATCTTCGAAGCTTTATTTCAATCAACCCAATAACCCAAATAATGCTAGTAAGACATACTATGTGGATGAATTGATTTCTTGTTTCAAGACATCATTTCAACGTGTACGCTCAGACTCAACATTTCAAAACATTGACGAAACGATGGCCAAATTCAAGGGTAGGTCTTCTCTCAAACAGTACCTACCTTTGAAGCCGATCAAACGCGGTATAAAACTGTGGCAGCGTTGCGACTCTAAGACAGGATACCTCTATGATATGAACGTATATGCTGGTAGAGAAGAATCAACTGTAACGGGAAACACTGGAACATTAGGAGAGAGAGTTGTTAAAAAGCTGTGTGAAACTGAGGTGAACTGAAAAAATCAGGAAGAAAGATGTGGCAATCTGCTTCGATCGATTTTTCATGTCAGTCGATTTGTATGAGAAACCGCAGAGATTTAAAACCGAAGTTTGAAACCAAGGGGGTGGGTCATATATCAAAGAGGAGATTCAAAAGTGTTATGCAACAACTTTTGTTCTGTCGCAATGATTTGGCAAGATACTAAGGAAGTCCTGGTTCTTAGTTTCTGTCACAAAAATACCCTAACAGAAGTTTCTAAAAATGGAAAAGAGGGCTCAAAGAAAACCTTTTCTTGCCCAGAAGCCATTTCATTTTATAACACCTACATGGGTGGCGTAGATCTCGCAGATCAATTTTCAGCTTAGTATGACCCGAACCGCAAATCAAATAAATGGTGGAAAAAAGTATTTCAGAAACTTTTGATGTCAGCTGCATCAAATAGTTGGATAGTTTACCAAGAGCTGCAACATAAGAAAATGTCTTTTATTGATATTTTGGTTACACTAGCTGAACAACTAACAGGATATTGAAAAGAAAGAGCCATATTTCAGAAGAATTACTTCAGGTAACTCCTAAAAACAGATACAATATAATTATTCGGTTGCTACAGAAGGTGTTATTATTTCTATGTAGAACATAGCCAACAACAACCAAGCCATGTTCAATATTGGCGATCCAAAAATCTTGGAAATACCAACTGAAGGGAAATCCCGCCGTAGATGCTGCTACTGCGCAAAAAAGAAAATTGGAAAAAGAACCAAAACTATTTGCGCGGCATGTGATGTTGCTTTGTGTAAATCATGCTTTTTACCTTTTTGTTACTTTTATAAGCAAAATGAAAAAAAAAAAATTTTTTACTGCTGGGACATATTTATCCCCGATGAAATCCTGGTGGGTCATATACAGGGTGTCCCAGGCTGAGCGTGCATTAGAAGTTTCTAGAGAACCACAATATCTAGATCGGAGATTTTTGGCACATCATTGTTTTACAACGAGATCTATCGATTAAAAATATTTTCAATATGGCGGCACTTCCGGAAATACCGGAAGTTGACAGCAACTTTCTTATTTTAAATGGGTGCCCCCATTTTTTATTACATACTTAAATTATCTGTAAAATTCTATGAATATTGATGTCAAACACTCTATATCTAACATTAACCGTTTTTGAGAAAAAAAATATTTAAAATTTTTGGACGAAAAAAACTAACTGTCAAAAAAATTTGTTTAGCCTAAAAGTTAAATTTAGTCATTACCACAGCCACTGTGACATAAAGAGAAGACATGTGGCTATCTATTTCAAAAATTAAATTGTTCAAATGTCATATAATAATGGCGGTAGCTGTCATGGATTTGAGTGTTTAAAAAATTATCATAAATCAAATGGAAACCCACTTTTTTTATTTCAATAATGAAACGGTTTGTGATGTCGTCTCATTCCAATACGGGAAAATCAAACACATGTTCACCCTTTGAATACATTTATTCGAATTGGCTAACCTAGTTACAAAAGATGGTATGCTATGCTTTTGTTGTTGCAATAATTAATGAAATATTAAACAAACAATTGTTGGGTAACCAGGTCGCACTACATCTCCCCTTTCCAGTAGAATGAACTTTATTCTGGCCACAAATAAAGGACATTCGGCGTAAACAAAAAATTGACAATAATAATTATATCATATCCATTGGGTGTCGCAATTTTATAAATAAACTGTTGCTTTAATTAAGTTTACCAATATACTAACCTATTAACTAGATATTATTAAAAAAATAATAAACATAAAAAATACGACACAAAATCTATATCTATAGAACCCATATTATAATAATAAAATATTACCTATCCTATTTACAATAATATACCTGGTCTTGGTTAAAAAAATGTAAAAATAAAAGTATAATTATTAGTGTACCATTTCATAAGACTATAAATTATTATAAGTACGTGTTTCACAATAAAATTAAAAAAAATATTTCTAAAAGAGAGATTTACACATAATATAATATGATGACTTAAAAATAACTTATCTACCTCAGCATTTCTATACTGACCTAACTTAACTATTTTTATACACTCGCGAGCTTTTTGTCTATGCTATGAAATTCTTAGAAATACGAATAACGTTTTGCTAATTGTTATTGTAACGAACGCACTCTGTTTTTATGCACGTTCATTTGCTTTCCGTTAGTTTCCGCGCAATCTTTGATCACACAATTTACACCTTCAATACTAATAATTGAGTAGGGACCTTTATACCAAGGATCAAATTTGGTTCTATTTTCGTTAGATAACATGACCAAATCGCCTGGTTTAAAATTAGTTTTATTTGAAAGTTTGTCATAAATTACTTTACGGTTTTGTTTAGCTTTGAAAATGAATTCGTTCGCACGTTTATTGGCTAATTGCATTCTATATTTTACTTCATGATAGTAAGCGTCTAAGTCATATATAGGATCTACAGTATCACCTGAAAGTATTTCAGAAATCATTGCCTTCCGTCCGAATACCAGTTCAAACGGTGAAAAATCATGATAGATGCTGGGCGTTGTGTTATAACAGAAACTGTAATATTGTACCCAGTCATCCCAGTCAGATTTTGCATCATTTATATACATTCTGAGGTACTCATTCAGAACTCTATGATTTCTTTCACATCCCCCTATCGTTTGACTATGGTAAGGAGTTGAAAATTTTTGACTTATGTTGAGCATTTTAGTTAGATTTGCAAAAATTTCATTTTTATATTCGGTGCCTAAATCTGTTCTTATTTCCTTCATTGAACCATAAATAAGTATGAAATGATCCATTATAGCTCTTGCTACCGTTGCGGCCTCTTTATTAGGTATAGGAATGATGACTATGTACTTGGTTAATTCACATTGAATTGTGACTGCATATACATTATTTTTTGATGTTTTCATAAATGGACCTACTGTGTCGATTGATGTGATGTCAAATGCTTTTTGAGGAGTAGGGGTTATTACCATTGGCTCTTGGTTTTTCACTCTGCTTTTATTTAATTGACACTTATAGCAGTTTTTAATGTATACAGCAACTTCTTTTGACATACCTTTCCATCTATAATTGACTCTTAACTTTTTAAGTAGTTTTTTCTGTCCACAGTGTCCACCAATTAATGGATCATCGTGATATTTTTGTATTAAAGCGAGTTTCTCATCTCTATTTTTAATAACTTGTGGTTCCTTAAATAACAAAATGTTTACCTTTTTTAATTTTTCTTGACCAATTTCTTTTAATTCATTTATTGTGCACATTTGAAAAATTTGGTCATTTAATTTTAACTTTAAACTTTTAATATTATGATCATTAGCCATTGATTCAAGCTTAGGCAATACTTCCTCTAGAGAAAAATTACCATTAATGATCGGAATGTTTGATTCAGCGCTGAATCTTCCTTTTAATCTCATTATTATCCTAAGATATAATGACTTAATTTCAAAACTTACTAAAGGTAAATTAAGTATACTGCTATTGTCTAAGGTTTCGTAAATTTTAGGTAGAATAAGTATTTTATTTTGCGAAGAGTCATA